TAGTCCTATATCAGATGAATTCACTCAGCAGGACTTTCTATATTTATTGGTTTGTTCTTAGTTTCCTGTTTGTTTGGTTAGCATATTCAAATTTAAATGTGAAACCATTTTTTTTATCACACTGTTCTGTAAAAAAGGACAGATCTTAATGCATAAGATTTCAGGAAATACCTTTTGCCATCCTAACAAAACAGGTTCCTTGTGCCCACTGGTATTGGTGGGCCTCAGTCTGCACATTTCAGTATCTGCTAAACAGGTTCTTTCATAAAGAGGTCAAGTCTAAGTTTTTTTCCTCAACCGAGCTCAGGGTCCAGACTCTAAAAAGCCAAACCACAATGCCATCAAAAAATATTGTAGGGAGGCAAGACACAGTCTGTTACAAACAGAATTGCTTCTTTGCATTCACAGCTGAAACAGCTGGACAACCTTACAGAATATTTCAGTTTTATTTCTGCTCAAATGTGTTTACTCTCTTTGTTTTGTTGCATAGAAACAAAGATTTGGAAGGGGCCATTTCGATCATTGAATTCCAACTTCCATTCAGTGCAGAAATCCAAATTAAAGCATCCTTACTAGATTGCTTCCTGTCTCTGACCACATCCAGTGAAATAGAGTTCAGCACCTCCCTTGGTAATTTCTTCCACTACTGAAATCATCTTACTCTTTGAAAGAGTTTCATAACTGGATCTGACTATTACTTAAGGATTATTCTGTCCTTCACTTTGGGCAGATAGAGAGCAGATCTCATCCCTCTTTATGACAACCCTTCCTGGTACTTGAAGGGATAACATATTCCCCATCCATTCCCCCGTCTGTTGGCTTTTCTCAAGCTTAACTTCTTCAGTCTTTCTTGCAGGACCTTGATGAACCTGCACCATTTTTGCTGAATCTTTCTTAAAACACATCCAGCATGGGACACATTATTTAAGAGAAGGCTAATCCATGCAGAATGAAACAGAACTAATTTCCTGCAATTTGGAACCTATATTTCTGCTTAATCAGCCTAAATTGCATTTGACTTTTTAGCCCTATCGAACTGCTCATTCTTATTTAGCTTATAATTAAGCAGAATTCCAAAATTCTTTTCAGTGGTAGTAATTCCAAACCAGGTGTTCCCCATCCTCTATTCATGCATTTATTTTCCTTTTCCTACACAAAGAAATATACATTTGTTTCTGTTAAATTTAATTCTGTTATTTTCATCCCATTTCTCTAATCTGTTAAAAACTGAATTTTGTTTTTGTCTTTTTTTATTTTTAGGGCTTTAGCTATCCTTCCCAGTTTTGTGTTATCTGTAGATTTGATAAACATTTCTTTCACTTCTTCATCATTAATGTATATGTTAACAAGTGGAAGGCTAATGATTGAATGTTATAACCCCTACTTAATATCATGCTCCAATTTCAGGAGGAAGCACCGATGCACGTTCTTTGAGTAAGGGTTCCAAACCAGCTTTGGAATCACCTAACAGGCATGCTGTTCAGGCCATACTAACAAGCTTGCTAGTCCAAATGTTACCGGATACTTTGTCATCTGCTTTGTGGAGTAAAGATATATTATGTCCACAGCATTCCCACAATGTATTAAGGAACTTATCTAATCAAAATGAAATAAGATTAGTCTGTCAAGATGTCTTCTAAGTAAATCCATGTTTACTTCTGGTAATCACAACAATACATGGTTTTCAAGAAGTTTATAGAACAATTGCTTTATGAAACACTGTGGAATCTTCCCAGGTATTGATGTCAGATCTGAATGTACAATTTGCTTCAACTAAATCTGTCCATTCTGAAATGAAAATGTAAGAATTACTGCCAGCCATGTCATTTTTATCTCTGTTTTAGCTATATTTTTAAACCATTGTTGTCATGACTTTCTTTTGCTGATTTGTAGTCAAAAAAGGTGCTTCTGACAATAGGTCATGGCTTCATCATATAAATCCATAGGCAAAGTTAGAAACTTTTGTTTCTACTTATCAGCTGCATTTCTGCTGGCTCTGCAGATTGCATTGATCATTTCCACAGCAGGCTCCAGTTTAATAGCCCAATAGAATAAACTCCCTGCTGGTTATTCCTTTCTAGGACTTCCTCTGGCTCCTCTTGCCATTAATGGAATAGTTTCTATTGGCCCAAATTCAAGATGCCTTTGCACATGAGTAAGCATCATTTGAAGTGGGGAGTATGCTCATGCTTAGATACATTTAATGAAAGTAATGGGAGTGTGCAAAACACTTTTTAGTATAAAAAAGTATCAAAGTATTGTAATACTAAATACAACAGGTATGAGCATTTTATGAGCTCATGAGCCTTAACACGCCTATCTACACCAACTTTTTGATGCATAGAGGCAAACATTTTCCAAATGGATAAAGAGAAAGCTCTTTATATATAGAAAGAATTACAATTGATTTCTGCTATTAGATTGTCTTAATAGTTGTAGAAGGAAACAATGACATATATAATCAAAGAAAATAGAATCCCCAAAGGCATGTTTGCTTAATAATGCAATTTGTTTGAGAAATGCTTTTAATTACTTGCTTTTAACTTAAGAATAGTTTAAAAAAAACTTAAAAGGCTTTAACATTTAGGTAAAGAAATTAAAAAGAATAGAAGAATATTATATTTCTGGTTTAACTTTTCATAATCAGCATGCTGTATTGTTGGAATAGCTTTCCAAAACATCCTCCAAATGGATATCAGCAGATAGAACTTGCTTGAATATTTGGAAAGATTAAAATAATTGTATTAAAGACTAATGATATGACTATGGCAGTGTTGGGTGAGATACTTCATTTAATGGTCTAACAAGTCTTTGTGAACTAGACAGAATCTGTTATAGTCTGTATTCAGTAAATGTATTTTAGTAGCTTTTTCATAGGAAGGAGTTTAATAAGACACAACACTGATGAAAATTGGAATTTGGCAGATACAAATTATATAGAACCACCTGGACATTTTGTGTTTGTTTATATATATGATTTTTTTTCAGAGAACACAGGCTTTTTATAGACTGTGTGCGCTATCATGTGTGAATAATGAGTTATTGAAGTATATATATATATATGATGGAATGAATTAATTTTAGTGCACTAATTCCAACAGCTTTTTATTCTTATTAATCTTATATATAAACATATGTGAATTAAATTCCATAATATCTTTGATAGCAATAAATAATTTATCATTTCTACCAAAGAATGCATGTAACAAGAAACCAATATATTAGCATGTACTATTTCCACATAATATCTGGGATCACACATTACATTAAGCCACAGTGAGAATTGTTCAATTCTGGCTTAGTATATCATAATGAATCCAGGCACTGTGGTTTATTAGTCATGGTTTATGGATGATAATGGTGTACTAATCCAACTGGTTTGTTTATTCAATTAAGCATAGTTCAGTCAAACAATGAACTAGCATGATGTATGAACTACGCATAATGCAGGATTTAGTTCCTATATTGTCCTGGGAGTGAAAGATTGTGGGAAGGCTAGAAAGGAAAATAGCATTGCAGTTGCTCAAAGATACTCTGCCTTAATTCACTGAAAATGAAGATGGGAAATTCCTATTTCTAAGACTCTGAATTTACTGCTGACTAGCATTAAAGAAACCTTACTGAGATATGTGTAGTTCTTGCTTCCTTGATCTTGCCCAGCTGTGTGGAGCCTGACACTGAGGAAGAGAGAATCCAAAGTACCTCATTAAGGAGAAACCTTCAGTGTTATCTCTTGTGGCCTCCCAGCCTGAGGACTGCCCTTCCACTTTTCTTGGATTCAGAAAATATTTTCCCACTACTCTCTCTCTTCCCTCTGCATTATAGAAGCAGAAACACATAATGACTGCATTTCTACAAGTCAACTGGTTACTAAATTAACCAATTTTCTGGTTTGTGCAATACATGGAATCATAAACTGACCAAATGGGCTGGATTCATGCAACGTACTAAGACACACAAAAATAAAACAAGATCAAAATCTACCAACTACATTGTGGAAATGCAGCAGGTCTTTAATTAACTTTGCTAATCATGTTGTGCAAACATAGCCACTTTAAAAAGCTCCCCTAAGAAAGTGGAGGCAATTTTGAAGCATTCAGAAATCTTTTAGCTTAGCCAGCAGGGCTCTTTGAGAGCTGTCTATGGTCCTGATTTCTGCCTAATGACCCAAAAAGGTTTATTTAGTTAAGCCATTTCCTGCCTAAGATTCCAGTTAGAATTGAAGTTGATTTCAATATTTTTATGGGGATCTTTTAATATCTTAGAAGGTGTGGTTTTTACCTTGATTTTTTTCCTTTCCTTTCCTTTCTTTTCTTATAATTACAGAATCTTGGGAGTATGCTTGTCCTTAAAATCCTATTTTAAATAGAATAAATAACCAGAGATGCAGTAACCTAACTGACTGATTGTGTCTCCAGATTCACTCTTCTAGAAAGTCTAGCCTACAGAGAAACAAGATTTTGCATCTGTTGTATTAACAACAGAGTGAATTGAAATAGACAATATATTATATATTCAGCTAGTACTGTATATCCTCTTTTGAAGCTGTCCATGTTAAATTATTTGCCCATATTAATTTGTCTGGGTTTATAAACTGTGCAGACTAACAACTGTAAAAAATTCACAATTAAATCCATAACAAAGCACATAAATGAACCATTGGATGATTATATTTAAATAAATAAAGGCATGTGTCTTGGTAAAAAAGGCATTGACAGTATACTGGAGATAAAGGCCAAGATCCAAGGAAAACCATGAAACTACTGGGCTAGTTTGGATTTGTCTCAGTGAAGGGCTTCACAACATGAAACAATGCAATTTTATTCATCAAGATGAAATGGCAATGAGATTTTTGCTCAACAAGGCCCTTTGTGTTGCCTAAGTCTTTAGGTTTTAATAGTGTTTTGCTGATGTAAACTGGAGTCTATGTGATTGGATTGTACACAAGTCTCATAAACAATACTTCCAATATTCAGAAGAGATTTCTGCACATATAGAAGATGGCTGGACATGTTGGAAGAGGCTTCTGCTTCTGGCTATTGCAAGTGCCAGATGAGGCAGTAAGAATAGGCAAAGATAGAAACTAGAGGGCCTTAATGTATTGTGAAGCTGATTTAAGGAGGTATTTCACTTAAGGTTCATTGAAACAGAGCAGCCGTTCAGAGATCATCAGGTTAGCAACTATTAATAGTATATGATAAATTGTTTTTGAAATTAGGGTGAGGGTGATAAGCCCTTGCTGAAGTCATCTGTGGGGGAAAAAAGAGCAAAGTCTGTTTGTCTGGTGCAAATCCCTTGTGGTGGGATGAACACCCTCTTGGATCCCTGAATCTCCATCTGTATATGAAGATGTTTAAAGCTTATGTAAACAAAGCAGCTTTAGAACTATGGCAATCATAGTATATTGTAAGCAGTTTGATGTAGCGGTCAAGGTATCAGGCTAGAAACTGGGAGATTGGAGTTCTAGTTCCTTTTCAGGCACAAAGCCAGCTGGGTGACCTTGGGCCAATCACACCCTCTCAGGCCTAGGAAGGAGGCAAAGGTAAACCACTTCTGAAAACTTGCCAAGAAAACTGCAGGGACTAGTCCAGGCAGTTGCCAGGAGTCAAGACTGATTTGAAGACACCAAAAAGAAAAGAAATGAGAAACAAAACCAAAACTAAAACCATTCTGATCGCACAGTTCTGCTCCACTCAACTGTTTGTTCAGTTCAATCATGCTAATTCAAATAATTGCAGGATTAATTTCACAGGGATACCATATTTGGATTACAAAAATCCAATGACCACTAGATGGCAACAAAGACATAGCATTTTCTGTATCTTTGCAGCCCTCTATTGGCCATCCCAACTGTTGCTTCTCAGATAAGGTAAGCTAGGTTTTCAAGAATTATGTAATTGTTATATGCAGTATCGCCCTTTAATAAAGTTCAAATTCTGCTTGTGGATTTCTTTTCAGGGCTCTCCTTCAGATAATATTTTTGAATCTGGTATTAGGACTCATCCAGCATTTGCTTTCTGAAAACCTGGGCAGCAGGTTGGCAGATGTGCTCACTTATTTATTTTACAATGCATCTGTTCATGATTAATGATGTTTTTATTAGGGTTGTGCAGTTCTTCAGATTTAATTCCTAAAAGGTGCATTGGATAGCACAAGGTGCAAGTACACCACCTGCTTGCAACACTTTAGTGCAGTGTTTCTCAATCTTGGCAACTTGAATTCCCCAACATGCTGGCTGGGGAATTCTGGGAGTTGAAGTCCACATGTCTTCAAGTTGCCAAGGTTGAGAAACACTGCTTTAGAGTAACTGTGACTTTTCCAGGGATCATCTGTTGGCAGCAGTGGGTAGCCTCGTGATTCAAAATAAAAATGCAAGTACTTTAAAAATGGAAGACGGGTGTGACTTTTACATTGTGCATACCCTGCAGCAGCCTGTTAGAACTGAATCTGAAGCACTGCACAGTCCTAATGCTTATAGTGATTTACCCTAAAGAGATTTATGATAGCTCCTGGTATTCATGGTGTTACTCTTCGGTAGTTTTCTTTCACATAATTTGCTTAAAAGCAAAAAGTAGTATAAGGAAGGGATTGGCCTGGTGACTTGCTTGATTTGATTTCTGAGTGTATCTAGATTTATACTAATATGTATATGTATGTATATATATTTATTTCATTTTACAGTGTTATTTTTTCACCATTGAATTTGGCCTTTGTAAGCAAGATGGACAACTGAGGGCTTATGGAGCAGGCCTTCTGTCTTCTATTGGAGAGCTCAAGGTACTGATGTAAACAAAACTCTATTATTTATCATTAGAAGCCAGCTCTGTGCTTTCTACATATTTCTTGTGTGATTTTATACTTATCTCATTGTTACTTTAACTTTACTTTCAAACATTCTGGGAACCGTTTGGCTGAAGGGCAGTATATAAATGTATGTAAAAAATACGTTTGGAAAAGCTATATGATTTGAAATAAATCCTGTAAAAGAAGAAGGATGATAAAAATCAGACCATAGTGCTAATCTGGGATGGAAATAATTATTTTGAATGCCAATCCAAAGCATTTACACTGGCATATCTATTAAGGCATGTGTGATACTTCAGTCTGAAGCTTGGATCTGAATGTGATTCAAGCAAATTGCTCTTTTGAATTAGATGAGGTGCTTCTGAATTGATTCAAAGATTTGATGGACTTTGTGCATATGCATACATACTCTTATCAAATCAAATATTTGATTTGGCTTGATTCTTCAAATAAACTCTTCACACTGAATTGCAAATTGAAATTGAATGGGCTCATGAAGTCTGAAATTCAAATTAGAACTTGATTCATTTACATCCCCTCCCAGTATCTATATTCAGTAAATGTGATTTCCCAACTACATTTAAATTGTGCTATATTTTATGACTTGTTCCAGTGCAACAATCAGAATTCTTGTCTGTTTTTTTGCAGCAGGAACACTGGAATTTAACAATGCTCAGATGATTAAACAAGAAGTCTATAGTCCTAAATATGATATCTAGGTAACAATCCTAAACCCAACTGGTAGAGATGTCAGGTCCTACATAGTAGCAGTTATTATTGACAACATTGTGGGGCTAATATTATGCTTCTGCCCATCAATAGACAGCCCAACATATAAAGTTCTAGTGTTGTTGGAAGTCATAAATCTATTTAAGTGCCACCACTACCAAAAAACCCTTTAAACTTCTTGACACTGCTATTCCAGGTCATACATTAGTTTCAGTCTAGCAATCATTTTGCCAATGAGGTAAAAAAAGAAATGTGCTTGTGCTTTCAAGAAAATCCAAACTTGCTGTACAGTCACTTCAAGATTTATTTATTTATTGAAGGCATTTATATTCTGTCTTTCATAATATATATCCCAAGGCAGCTTGGAACACAAATTAAAGTAATAAATACAGCTAGACAGAAGCAGTTGCAAATACCAAAACCACTAAAAATGACAAAGTGAGTATATGATAACACAGTTGGTGTTTAAAAAGTTACCTATGCTTTAGTGATATCCAGGTTAGATTGAGACAGTAATGAACTCTACCTGGAGTAATTCTGAAGCTAGTTAAGAACATTTAAACTAGGGCAGAATATGGCTGTCTAGATATTAATGATGTAGGGTTATTGAAATGTGTGATATCACTATTCTACCAATTAGATAGATCATCAGTGCATTTCTAAAGTACACACAAAGTATTGGTTTTGACTTTTAAAACTCTAAATAGTTTGGAACCATTTTTGTTTGCCCATTCTTAAAAACCTTGACTTGGAGGCATTGCTCATACCCCACTCATTGGAAAAACATACAGTTAATGGATATGGGGTAAAGGGCCTTTTTGGTATTGCTTCCACTTTTATAGAATTCCAATTTAAAAGAGGTTCATATAAGCCTGGTGGTATAAACCTTCAGATGGCTGTTAAATTTATTTTTTCCATGTTGGCTAGGATTTGATGCTGCTCTAATTTGATCTGATACTTAATTTTTTATCTCTTTAATAATACTGTGTTGAGTTGGCTGTTGCTGTTTATTGCCCTCGCTATGTTGCTATTGGGCTTTTACTTACGTTTGCTGATGTTTCTGTAGGCTGTTCTTTATACAAGAGCTTTTAAATTGTCTGATGGGCTTTACAAAACAAAAATGGTTTTCTGCGTATTTGACTTGCCTTGAAAGGGCCTAGCTCACGTACACAAAGACAAAAGAGCAGGGGCTGGATGATAGACTCTCTTAGTTGGAGAGTGAGTTTAAAAAGGGGGATCCCACAGCCAAGGACGGGAATTAGAAAGAAGGTTCTTAAAAGACTGATGGGGGAGTAAGTGTTTTTTAAGCAGTCCCTAAAAGGCATTTCTTCACTGCCAAGATCACAAGAACTCAAAGAGTGGCACATGTGAATGCAGAAAGTGGGTTTATTTCCTGTCTAAAGCATCCTGAGCTGATTTAGCTCCCCCTTGATTTTGTATGTTTTTCTTTAACTCCTAGAACAGCTGCAAGTTCTCAAGTGCAATTCAGAACGATCCCTATTTTATCTGAGACATTTCTATTGGTGGATAAAACAGAGCATAGCTTCTCTTTGATTTTTTAAAATTATTATATTCTTTTTTGAAGAGGCAACTCCTGTTCTGTGAGGAATAACAGGAAGGTCAAGCTCATGATAGGCCTCCTGAATCCAGTTAAATTCAGTGTTGGAGAAGCAATCTCCAAAGGTCTTGCTAGCAGAATTTTGCTTTGAAATTGCTTATCAATTTTTCTGCTGTTTAGATTAGGAGTGCATCTCCATTTTGAAATTTCTCTTGTAGGATACATGCTCAGGCAGTACACAGATATCTGAAGAGTTGTCCTATAAATGAGAATAAAATTGCTTTTCTGGAGATGTAATTTGCTTGAGAACCAACAAACAGGCACCTGCTGTGAGTGACTGATGCTTATAGCTTTGGGATATGCTGCCTTATCTAAATTTGATTTCAAACAAATGTTTAGTTATAGAAATATTTTTGGCATTTGGATATCTTTTTTTCTTGTCTTGTCTTAAAAAAAATTATAACAGACTTTTTGTTGTTAAGTCTCATATTTTACAAGCATTTTGTTCTTGTAAAGTGCCAGGATAGAAACCAGCATTAAGTCTGGCTAGAGATATAGCACAAGCTGTAAAGTGCCTGAGTATTGTCTAGAATTATTGTTTCTGTTTAAGCGCTTAGGCTAATTAATTTAATCTATTTTATTATTCTTTTTATGAGATCATCTTAATCCTGGATTAATTGTAGATGCCCGCATGCATAGTTATGTGTGGGGCAATGAAAGAGAAGTCATCAATTCACATCCCCAAATTTATTTTTCAAGACAATTCTTGTGTTGCAACAGATGCAATACTTTCATGAAGTCCAGAATTTTCATTGGCATTTATTTCAATTCTGAATATTACTCATGGTTTGAGTTTAAACATATTTGTCTACAAAGAACCTTGCTCTCAGGGTTTAGATTCAATTCTTGAAAGATCCTTGTAGCATATAGGAGCATACACATAACACATATCTGCAACTGTTTTGAAGGCATGTCTCTTCCCAGGATCAAGTGCCTGCCCTCTGCAAGGCTGCCATGTGATTCTAGGAAGAGATACAGCTTTTCAAAAGAGTTGCAGACAGGTGCGAAATTTATGTTCCCACACATGCTGAAGTATCTTTTTGGAACTAAACCTGAAGCATACTGCAGCTTTAATTTTTGTTCCTTGAACCTGGCAAGAATGCCTCTTAAAACATTTCGTCCCTCATATCTCTAACATCTTTTTTAGGTGTTTCCCTGTTCTATTAAAGTGGGAGTGGGTATTCTGTTATTTGTAATCTCATGGTGCACCTATCACTGATGCACACTGTGTACTCCTCCAAATGTCAACAGTCAAAAGGTAGGTCAAAGATTTTTGAAAGGAAAGACAGAAAACTTGGTTTTTGATATTTTTGATATTTCTATACTGCTGACTTCATGCAGACTTCTGGTGGTTTACAATAATATAAAATCCATCAAAACAAACTAAAAATAAAACCTGGCATCAGGAGTGACTTCTTTCTTCATCAACAATCAAAATTGTCTACAGAAGAGCCCCAACTTGACTGCCCTCTGAAAAGCTATGAGGATGCCATTTCTGAAGGAAAAGGATTCCGTTAAATAAGGGGATAACATGAAATACAGTGTACTCTGAACCATCTCACTTGAAGGTCACTCTCAACATGCTCTTTTCTTCTGGAAGATTGCAAGGTATAAAGCCATGAAGGTTAAAACCCACTAAAGGCTTATAGGTTAAAACCCACAGTTTGAATTGCATTCAGAGGGCTCCTGGAAGCCAATACAGTGCCATTTAAACCATTGGTATATGGCACTGCTAGCTTGCACCTGACAATAGGTGGCCTGCTGCATTCTGCCCCTTCTGCAGCTTCAGGTGAATCTTCAAAGGCAGCACCATGTAAAGTGTATTGCTGTAGTTGACCTTATAGATGATGATGGGCAGCCTTTCCTAAGGCATCATGCTTCAGGAAGGACTGCAACTGATAAGTCAGCCATGGATTTCTTCTGCCTAACAGTAGCTCCCCAACTAGCAGAGGATCCTCACAGACCTAATTATTTCTTCCCATCTGGACCCCAGCAGCCTCCAACTTTGGGTCAGAACTTCTACCTCTTCTCCTGCTCAGCCTATAGTGGTGTTTTGCAAACAAAAGGATAACCTTCCCCAGCAGCTATGTAGATATTAAATATATTATTTAAATATAACAACAACAACTCTGGCAGTTTACAAATTATTAAAAACATTTAAAAACAAGGAGCAATACAAAAACACAAAAACAACACAAAAGAACTGAGGTGGCAGAGAAAACAAACCCATATGGGTACAAGAAAAAGGAATAAAGGGGTGTCAAAAGTCCTTGCCAAAGTTCTGGTGAATAACTTTGGCAAGGACGACTGCCAAATAACATCAGTATGGCTATTCACCATACTGTCACACACAAATACCAGTATAGTGGGGGCCGTTGGAATCTCAGGAGGATCCTCATTTCTAATGTATTAGGGAGGGGGAGAGGTGAATCAATTGGTAGTATACTAGGGTGTAACTGCTTGGAGAACCTCTCCTTCCCCAAAACCATTCACTGTTGCTGTACAGTATCATCCTTAGCCACAAAATTAATAAGCATAGAAATAAAGAAGAAAAAATATATTGTAAACAGATTAATGCCAAAACCTTTTACCAGGTTGGGCTAAGAACTTCTTCTATGTCTCTCTATTAAAAGAAGGAGAAGGAGGAGAAGAGATAGATAACTTTTCTATACTGGATTTACAAAAGAGACCATTAAAGTTTTGAAGGATTTTCTGAGAAGGGACAAAGAAAAAATGAGAAGAAATCAAGTTCTAGGACATTATTTGAAGGGATTAAAAACCAGGATTGTTAAAAGTACAGGAAAGGAATATAAAGTTGGTTTATTGGTCAAGGCTGACATATTTATTTGTTTGTTTATTCATTTTAAGGGGGAAGCACTCACTTTTCAGAAAGAAAAAGAAAAAGAAAAATCTTCCAAGCATGCGTGGGCCAATTGCTGTTTTCATTACTCACATATTGGCTAAAACACTGAAAATGACATTTTCTTAGAAAATGCATAGAAGAATGGCTACATATTTCACTTTTATAAATCAAGTTCTAGAGCGGCTAGTGACTAGTTGTTTTTTAAGAAAATAAATCTGGAATCTAAGAATTATGGAACATATAGAAAGGGGTAAATGTCCTATTTGTCACTCTCATGGACATCTATGTCCTCATGCATAATATATATGTGCATATGGAGAGAATAACATATATGGTATCTGTGCAGTTCAAGACACTGCACTCATTACCACATACAGCCTTTGCAAATAAAAACCTTATATATTTCTGTCTTAAAAGATATAGAAGAAAAGAAATATCTGATTCGTACTTTCTTCATGAACCAAGATAGAACAATTCCTGTACCACAAGTTGGTAACTGGACTGATTTTAGCAGAGTACAGATTTCATTCCACAGATGTCCAAAACCTCCCATTCACCCCCAGTTCTTACCTTACTCTAAAAAAAAGATGCATATTCATAAGAATCCATGGCTTCCTCTAAGTGCCAGCTCAGTTTGGTTTTAAACAAGTGGGTATACAGCTAATGCTCTTGATGAACTGTTAACATCCTGTCAGTCTATCTTTTTTTTTTTTAAAGCAATGAAAGTGTACATTATTTATTTAGATATTTGCAAGGCCAAAACAGACTGGCATTATGTGATACTGGAGGTGAAATATAAATGTTATGAATGTGTGATATGGGCAAAGGTGTGTTGCTTCTGCTTTGGAAGAATTCCTAATATTAGCCACAGTGTGGGAATACTTGAAATATTTATTAATAAAATGTTCATTGTTTCAGGTGTGATGATTTAAGTTATGTCCATATATAAGGCAAAATTCTTGCTTTCTTGATGATGCAACTGTTTGAAAGGAAGGGGAAATCTTAAAGCAAACATAGATTGATAAATTTAAGATGAACATCACATCCATGATGAATGTGGTGTGGTGAGGTGGAGAGCATGCTGTGCTATGAAGCCTGGGTGCATAGAAACCCTTCTGTAATGTAATTTAACAGATGATGTGATGTATTTTGCAGCATGCTCTGTCTGATAAAGCCAACGTGAAAACATTTGATCCAAAGACAACCTGCTTGCAAGAATGCCTTATCACAACTTTCCAAGAAGCCTACTTTGTCTCAGAAAGTTTTGAAGAAGCCAAAGAAAAGATGAGGCAAGTTGTTTCCATGGCCCTTAAAAACAAGCCCCAGATTGAATTTGCTCTTAGTAATTCTGTTACTAGTACTATTTGTAAGTGCATAAATAGGAGTTAATTATTTTTATTATTATTATTTCAGGGACTTTGCAAAATCAATCAACCGCCCCTTTTCTGTTTATTTCAATCCATACACCCAAAGTGTTGAGATTCTGAAAGACACCAGAAGCATTGAAAATGTTGTCCAGGATCTCCGAAGTGACCTGAACACGGTGTGTGATGCTTTAAGCAAAATGAATAGATATTTGGGTATCTGACTTCTTAATGATGTGGCTTTGGAGAAGAGCTAGATGCTGTACCACCATTATGAGCTACAATGGCCTATTCCCTCTCTAATGCATGGCTACCACATGTGCTCAGTGTGCTGTTCTATTTAACCGCAACTTCAAATACACCAACACTAACCTACAAGTATTTAAGGAAGAGGATTACATTGTCTTTATTTAATTTTTTTTATCAGCTTGCATCAATTTCAAAAAGCTTCTTCTCCATATCGACAACCTACAAACACAGAAAGACACACACAACGGAGCATTTGTTGATATATTACAAAAAGAACAATTAAAGGCAAAATACCATTATCATCCATCAATCACACATGGGAAGTTAATCTTTAATAAGTATTATTTTTTAAAAAATCCTCATGCTTTCCAAAATAAAACCACTAATTTCCTGAAGACAGTAATAAATAAAGCCAAATATTCTTGAAGAGCCCAAGATGATGCTCTTAGGAAATGGGCATGTCTGTGTAGGGATATGTGTTTCTATCAATACCCTGAGACTATAGATCAGTCTTGAAACATAGTTTGTCCTGAAGCACATCTTTCTATGCAGATGTCCTGTGCTCCTTGTTGCTAAGTAGACTTTGTAGGAGGACAGCCATGTTAGCTTATGGTGGAGTATGGTAGCACATTTTCTAACAAATGTTACAAACAATACCATTTCAGCCACTGTAGATGTTGAGACTACACTAACATTCCCCCCAAACATGAACTTCAAGCCATAGAGAATATTATCATTGATGCTAAAAAGCGCAGCCTGCCATCAGGCTGTGTGACTTTTACTAATCCATTTTCATAATCTGGACTCATGGAAATGAATCTCTCGTCAAATTCCATCATGCCTAACAACTTCCACCCTGCCATCAACCTCAGCTTGGAGCCATATACAGAACAAATCTACTTCCTTGATGTCACAGTAAAACTTCACAATGGACACATAAACACTATCTTAGACAGAAAGATTACAGTTTGCCCTGCATATCTACATGATTTCAGCTTGCATCTGGAACATATCACCACATCTATAATCTATACCGAAGCTCTATGCTACATCCACATTGACAATGACGTGTATTTTCTCAGACCCTGAGTAGCAGATCCATACTTGCACACATATAACCACCTAACCTGAAGTAGATTCTCACAAGCAACAAGAAACAATGATGCCAAATCCAGATGTCTACTTTGCCCAACAACACCATCATGGACCCCAAAAAGTAAGCACACAAGATTAGAGGTGCCTTCATTTACTCTTCCTCCAATGTGATCTATACCATCATCTGCCAGCAATGCCCCTCTGGATTCTACATAAGACAAATGGGACAGACTTTGCACACAAAAATTAATGGACTCAAATTTGACATCTGGACTCAAAGCAAAGAGAAAGTATTATCAAAGCGTTTCAGCCTCCCAGGATACTCAATAGCAGACCAAATGAATGTTTTGGAAAAATTGTACTTTATCTCCACCATT